TATTAAGATATCAGTTCTAAAAATAACCTATATATCCCAACTAATTATTTGATATATTATATGTTGTGTATGTTTCGTTTAATATTAATTAATAAATCATTCACTGTTCATTAACCCAAGTTTCCTATATAAAAAAATAGTCAGTATAACCAATATAACGATAACGATAACGATAATAAAAATGATAAAGAAATAAAATAAAAGGAGGTACTACATTACCATTGTTCATATTGAATTTTTATTTTGCTTTTGGTGTTACCAGATTGAGACGGATTTATGAGGTTATATTGTGAATTTATATAATCTATTATCGTAATATAAACAAATAATGATGAATAAAAATTGAAAATTTCTTTACAACTAATTTTATATTTGGAATTACCTTCAACTTCTTCTCGTCTCATCTTATTTTCCAAGTTTTGTGCAAGAGCCATCGTTGGAATCAATCTACTGGTATAAACCGCATCTTTATGTCTATTAAACTCTCCAGTCTCAAACATCCCGTCACCGCTCGCATCCATCATTCTAATTCTCTCATTTTCAGCATCTCTAAAATCTCTTATAGTTTCCAAATCAACTCGATCACCGATAATATTAGTACATGTCAAAGCATACCACTTGTCTAATATTACTTTCAAATCATTGGAAGTTGGTCGCTTTGCAGGATCAGCGTCCCAACACTGATTCATTAATGCAATCCAACATTTAGGATGTTTAACATTGGTTAACGAGGGACGAAGATTATTTGATGCGACACATGAAATTAAAGAGAGTGTATGTGGAGTATCATGAAATGGTTGTTTGAGAGTTAATAATTCGTACATTATCATTCCGAATGAATAAATGTCCGAAGCAGAAGTGTATTGACCTCCATTTAATACTTCTGGTGCTATATATGGTATTACACCATATATATATTCATTATTATTACTACTATTAATACTATCACCACTACTACTTCTATCAAAGCTCGAAGATTCTCGATCACTTTGCTCACTTTGTTCACTTTGTTTATTACTTACTACACGACTTAATCCAAAATCAGAAATCATTGGATACTTTTTTCCCATTAGGATATTACCACTATGAAAATCACCATGTATTAAACCAGCATTATGAATTGTTTCGAGACCTTGAAGGATTTTTAATAAGAAACTAACACGAGTTGGCCAATCTATGCTTAAATGATGATTTCTTAGGTAATTTCGAAGACCACCATTTTCGGCGAATGACATTACCATTATGAATTCATTTGTTTTTGGATCCCTGCTTATACCAAAACAATGTGCCACTTCGAAAGAGATTTTTAAATGAGTGATCGAGTGTAATGATTTCAACTAGAAAGTAAAGATATGAACATATGTGATAGAAATTTTAGAGAGTTAGAACGTAAAAAAAAAAAAAATGAACGTATCCATCCAACAAAGATTTTTTTTAAAAAAAAATCCAAGAATTCAGCATATACCTCGTTCAAAAAATCTTCAGAAGTATTCTCAGTTTTTTTCACTTTTTTTAAAGCAACAGCATGCTCTCCTCTTCGTTTCCAATCTTTCAGATTCACATCCCAATTATAAATTTGCCCGTCTTCCCAAATCGCATAAAATACTTCACCTAACCCACCCTGAGCCACAAATTTAATATCCTTAAACTTTTCAAAAGGTATCCATTCCATTATTTGTTCACTGCATTCGGCTTGTAACTGAGATTCTTGAATTAATTGATCCAATGAAGAGTTACCACTGGACCAGTTTGGAAAATTATCACGAAAATGAGAGGCATTACAATTTTGACACCAATTCCAATATGATGTCATAGTTGGTTCGTGACATTCGGAGCAGATTTTACCCTTGACCTTTTTCTTAGAACGGCGGAGTTTACTGACTTTTAAACCCATTTTTAATATCAAAAGTGTTCGAATATGTTTTTTGATAACGCGTTAATATAATAGTAAATTGTATTGTCTGATGGGTGCGGTTTTTGATAAAATATTTTTTTTCTTTGCAAGTATTATAAGTGTTTGAATATCTAAATACTTATAAACTTTAAAGTTAGATCAATTTAAATTCGAGGTTGTACTTAAGTTTGTTTGTTTTAAGAATTTAAGAATCACATTAAACGTTAATTATTATACGATATATAAAACTCTATATATACTATATATTATTTATAAGTATTGTAGACGCTATCAAAGCTGCCTTTTTTCTAAAAAAAATTTTTTTTTTTTTTTTTTTTTTTTTTCCACAAATTATCAAAATTGTGAATATAAAAAATTGGAAGAAAAGTAACCTTCAAAAAATATATCTTAATAGGAAAAACAATGTTAATAAAAAGGTTTTTTGGATAAGAAAATTTTCTGTATATTCTAGTATTTGTACGCACAAACAAATGTAAAAAAGGTGACTACTGATTTTTTATTTGTAAGCCAAAAATATTTTTATTGTTTCTAAGATATGCAAAAATAAAAAAATAATGCATTATTCTCTTGTTTTTTTGCAGAGAAAGTCGTACATCAAAAAAACATTAGGTAATGCGTTATCGTTACACCTCTTCTGCTTCAACTCATTTACAGGGCTTTTCCTATTACCGTAATATATACCGTAATAGTAGGGGTTATTAGGATGATGAATGAATCAATGAAGAAATTAGAGACCGATTTTTTTTTGAAGGAAAAAAGTTC